TACTTACATAATTTAAAGTAACTTTTAAAGCTGATCTAATCAGCTGGACATGGCAGTTCAGACCTAAAATCCCAGCCCTGGGGAAGTAGGTAAGAGGACTGGAGAAGTTCGAGACCAGCCTAGACTGTTTTACAAACTAGAAAAACAGGGGCCAGCAAGACAGCTCAGCTGGAACATCTGCCAGCTAGTCCTGATGTAGCCAAGCCTGGGTAATGTGGAAACAAAAAACCAGACTCCATCGAGCTGCTCTCCGACCTCTCCATGCACTCCATAGCACACACAGGTACTTACACACTAACAATCTGCCTGGTGGGGGCACACACCTTTGATCTGAGCACTTGGGAGGCAGAAGCAGGAGGATATCTGTGAGTTTAAAGCTAGCCTGGTCTACATAGAGAATCCTTATCTTAAAATAATAAGGACAACAACCAAGCTCCTGTTCATGCCGACTTGGCGAGGAGCTTTAAAGGTTGTACCGTCTATTAATCCACACACTTCTGCGTTTAGGATTCTTGCTTTACCTAGCCCACTTCCTGTCGTCAAGGGAAGGGCCTCAGCTTGGTGCTTTAGTCTCAGACCCCAGAGGGGGTAATCTATGATGTATTACTTGCAAAGTGCCTCCTAAGGTCTAGGAACAAAGCCCACTCCCTTCAGGAATGTGACAGTTTTATTCCAGGTTGGACAGCCTTGGGTGGAGACAGGGTCTTAAGGGCAGGAGGGAGGCTGGAGACTGGGATTCTCTGGCCAGGCCATACTGACATCACTATCACTATGCAATATTATCTGATGAGTACAGAACTGCTGGAGCCAGGGCCCATCCTTCACGCCAGAGTCAGGGAAGATAACAGATACCCAGAGCCTGTCTGGAATGCGGAACTCCTGCCCTCAGGGGACTCAGAATCTGGTCAGGGACAAAGGATTAATGAGTGAGTCCTCCCATCAATCCACTATGGCGTCCTAACACTGGGCTGATTTGGGGGTCCAGGATTGAAACCTTGGGAAACAGCCCTGTACACATGACTGGAAGTGGGGGGGAGTTAGGGCATGAGGGAGCTGCTGTGGGTTCTGGAACATGGTTTGGTCATTTATTATAGCAGAGCCAACCCAAGACAACAGCGTCTCCTCTCCAGCAAGAATTCCTAGTCAGAGATGAAGGAAATGGCCAGTTTTCCTTATCATCTATTTTATTTCATTTTGTGCAATTTAAATGACCATTTATTTACTTTTAAAGACAGGTCTCACTTGCTATGTAGACCAGGGCTGGCCTTGAACTCAGAGACCCACCGTCCTTGACCTCCTGAATGCTGGAATTAAAGGCATGCGCCACCTTCACAATCAAGGACTGGTGAAAAGTATAGCTCTTACCCAATAGCTAAGAAGTGAATGACAGGCGTGGAGGAAGAGGAAACTAGGCTGGGAAAGGCGCTTCTATTTGCATGCGGTGCTGAGACTGAAACTAAGGCAAGTGCTCTCCCTCTGAGCTACATCCCTCGCCCTGGGAAAGCAGCTTTTGGGGTGAGAAAGTTCTCCTAGGCAAGGCAGATGCAGGGTGGGGGCTAGTGGAAGCTCCCTGCAGGGCACACAAGCCCTTCAGACTTGAGCTTCACACTTCCATCCAGAATAGGCCTGGGGACTTCACAACCATCAATGTGAATGGGGGAGTTTTAAAGCTTGCACGGTGCCTCATTCCAAGGCTAGGAGATGCTGGGTGGTGGTCATGCCTGGGAGGCAGGTGCCTCAGAGGCACGGAATGTGTGGGGGTGGGGGGTGGAGAGGGCAAGGGGTGTAGTCAGGAGTGGGGAGGGCAGGTTGTTAGACCTATGAAAGCTTTTCTAGTAAATGTGTATACTGGGGAAATGAAGGTGGGTTGCAAAGGCACATGCCTGTGATCTCACTACTTTAGAGGTAGAGGCCAGAAGATCAGAAGTTCAGGTGAGTCTTAGTTACATGGCAAAAACCAAAAACAATAAACAGACAAAAAACCCAAAGCCAAAAAATCCAGGTATATATTATGTGGATCAGGAAGAGGGAGCCGAGGACACCCTAGTGAAGGGACGGAGTGTACTGCCGAGGGATGTTGGAAGTGTGAGCTTCAGGGGCACCAGGCCAGCCCAGGGAAGCAGTCTCAGAAGAGAAGCTCAAAAGTTAAAGAGCCAAAGTGAGTCTTAGAGATGGGAAGCAGGCCTGGGGCCTGGAAAACTAGCGTGGCCAGCAGTTACAGCACTTGCTTTCCTAGAAGGCCCAGGTTCAGTTCCCAGCACCCACACAGTGCTTATACTGTTTATAACGCTAATTGCAAGGGACCCAACATTCTCTTCTTGACCTCTGTGGGCACAATGCACATGTATGGTACATAGACATATATGCAGACAAAACAGCCAGACACATTAAAGAAAAAGAAAAAAAGAAAAGTCAAAGGAAGTGGCCCGATCCCATCGCTGTCTGCTCTGTAGTCAGGAAAGCTACCGAGTTTCACCAGTAGTTAGTCCCTCTCGGTCCCTAGCAGGGTGTGGCATTTAGAGCCCAACTCCTTGAGATTAGGAACCTAAACTCTAATCAAGTACTAGCCCCACTCCCCACGTGCCCCGAGGGCTTTCGGCCAGTCAAGGATCAAGGGATGTGTATTTGCCAGTCATTTAAGATCCGTAGACTGAATTGCACTGGAAGTCAGAGTTCACTTCACTGATAGGAAGTATACTGTGCTTCGAGCTCTCCACATTATAGACCATAGGCTCCTCTAACTGAATTCATGTTTTCAACTTTTCTGTTAACACCTGGAGGTCTCTGTGTTGGTTGGAATGGGAAAGCAACTGCCCAGATGTACCAGACTCACTAGAAAAGCTTTAAATAATTGCTGAAGCAGGAGACAGATACATGCATATAGATACATATGGTTAGATCTATGCATAGATTATATAATAAACTTCCCATTCCACTTCTGTGTATATTAACAAATATTCCTAATTTTTTTCTTCTGAAACAGGGTCTCACTGTGTAGCCCAGGATTGCCTGAACTCCCTAAATAAAGTTGGCCTTGAACGCAAAGAAATCAACCAGCCTTTCCCTCTTGAGTTCTGAGATTAAAAACACGCAGCACCAAGGGCTGGAGAGACGGCACAGAGGTTAAGAGTGCTGGCTGTTCTTCCAGAGGACTTGAGTTCAATTTCCAGAACCACATGGTGGCTAACAACCACCTACAGTGAGATCTGGTGCCCTCTTCTGGCATGCAGGCAGAACATTGTATACATAATAAATACACTCACCACCACATCTGGCCAATATTGTTAACTTTGGTTTTTATTCTTTTTGTTTCGGGGGGAGGAGGTCTTGCTGTGTAGTGAAAGAGGGGCTTGAACTATGTGGTGTCATACAGATCAAGCTGGCTTCAAACTTGTATCTTCCTTCTCCAGTCTCCCAAGATCCCCTCATTTACAAATTAATTTAAATGTAAAAAATGTTACTTACACTTATTTGTTTGTTTATGTGTGCATAGCACCTATTTGGAGAATTCTTTCCTGTGTGAGGCTCAGTGACAAGTGACCTTACTGGCTTGGGCCAACTTGACCACTCAAATCTTTTAAAATTTTAGCAGAAACCTAAAATTGATTTTTTAAAAAAACATCTTCATTTTCTGGGAGTGGGAAGAATCCTTCTTACTGTGGTTCTGGCCTCCCTGTGACTGACACTTGAGAGAGCTCAGGCCCAGGCCACCACCTCAGCACCTCTGCCAGGGTTCAAGAGCAGAGGCACTACATAGACCGAGGGTGAGGCAGAGCCTCTCTGATCCCCAGGGTCCCGGGAGAAGAGAGAGCAGCCTACTTTCTGAAGCTGTACCACACAGTCTCAGTGCTAAAAGCACCCCTCTCAGACCTTGGCCAGGCTGCCCTTTCTCCTTCTTCAGAAGGATGATTTCTGCCTTCTTGGATCTCAAAGGAACTAGAAACAATAAGGCAGTCAGAACCATGACCCCACCCCTTGTTTGGAACTTTCTCTAGGACCAGCAAGCACATACTGTTGTATAGCCTGAGGTCAAGACCCTGCTTCCTTTCTCTCCCTGCGGGAGTGGTGCCCACCACCCTCCCTTCCCACAGCTGACCTTAGAGGACTAATGGCTGCCTAGGTCTTTATGTGGCTTTCCCTTTCCCTTTCACAGCTCTGGGCTGCTTCCAGCTCCCTCAAGCTTGACCAACTGGGAACATGCCCCCAGCCAGTACAGCTACTGTATAGAGAAAGCAGCTCTCACAGAGGGACCTCTCCTGGCCTCCTGGGCACCACCTCAACCCCACAGCTGCAGCTCTTCCTTTCTCATTGCCCCCAAATGTTGGCATCTCTGTGCACAAAATTCTGAGACTCTGCCTCTCTGGCCTCTACTGAGTAGGCTCCACAGACCCTGAGCCCTGCCTCCAGCTTCTTGGCATCCCACACTGAATTCTCCATCCCAACAGCCAGTCAGAGCAAACAGTACAATCCTCGCCTGCGTCCAGGTCACTCCTGACAGTGTCCACCACAGCTGTAGCAATTCTCTGACCTTTCTATCAACATGTCTTTGATTCCATTGCCAAAATCCAGCCAAAGCACCCTGTTGCCACGGCTGTCACCCGCTCCTGAGTCATTTCTCTCTCTGACCATGCTTCTCTAGATACTCAAAGAAGGTAAATGCCACCTCTTCCAAGAGACCTACCTTGCCCATGAACTGGTCTCACTGAGCCTCCAATTCCCCTCAATTCTGTCCTCACCCATCAGAACATCAACTCCGTCCACAGGTGCCGGAGTGCTGTATGTACAGCGCTTACCTATGTGCACACACTACCTCGTGCATGGCTAGCACCCATAAACAAGATAAAGGACAACTGCCAAGTAGTGGTTCCCTGAAAACACTGGGAGTTAACCCTAGGGGGAAATGGTCTCAGCTACGGCCCAACAAAAGTCCCAGAGGTGGCTAGAACTGACTTTTGGTTTGGCAGTTCCACACTTGGCACCAAGGATAGAAGGCGTCTCACCTCCCTTTTCCAACGCGCCAGCCACTCGTCTCGTTTCCGTTTGCTGATGTAGTAGGGGTCCCCTGCCTGGAAGGTGAGTCTTGGCATGGGCCGCTGACGGAGGCTGGACTCCCAGCCCAAGCCACCGCGCAGTCGGCCCCGGGAGCCCTAGACAGAGAGACAGACAGGTATTAAGGTGGGCACAGATACCCTGCGGGGTCTGCTCCTCCTGGAGGGGAAACTGAGAGGGGTCACTCATCCCAAACAGAATATAGAAATTCTGGCTCCTGACCAGAGGGGTTGACCCCACTGAGGAGGGGTTCAGATTGGTAGGGACACATGAACAAGGCAGTGAGGGGAAGTGCTTGATCTCTGGAGGGGGGTGAGCTGGCTGCCTCACTAGGGGACTTCCAACCTCCACCCCCAACTTCCTCTCCCTCTCACAAGGGACAACCAAAGATGGGGCAGGAACCCACCCTCGGGCCCCCTCACACACACTCGCCACAGTCCGTCAGAGAGGTGGCTTTCTTCTAGAATCAGGATCCACAGAGCCCCTGGGGGTGAGGAAAACACTTGCCTCCATTTTCATGGATTCGATGTTGGTCTGCTTCTGTTCTTTGCCTGTAGAAAGGGAAGAACAAGAGGACTGTTGACCAAGTCACAGGGGTGGCTCAGAGGAGCCTGGGGGCCTCTATGGGGTCAGGGTCCTCCTAGTGTTTGCTTGTTCCTGCGTCACCCACGCTGGCCATACCGTGTGCCAGGGAAGGTCTGGAGCAGAGAGAGATCCTGGTCCAGGTCCCAGGCCCAAGGAATAAGGAAAAAGTCAGGGGCATGGTTTCTGGCCTATGGACCCTGGCCTCAAGTACACAAGAGGGGCTTCGAAGTAGCTACCATCTGCTGCTTGCCCCCAGCCATCCCTCAGAGCAAGGAGCAGGAGGGTGGAGGGGCAGAGCAGGGGTTGGACTGAAGAAGCCAGACTGTGTTCACTTCTTTGTGTGGGGCAGGAAAAGGTGCTGGTACACAGACAGTGGGCCAGCGGGAACAGACCCCAGGAAACAGCTCCATCTTTTGAGTCTGTCTCTTCACTATAAACAGTTCTAAATGGTATGGCCCTATTATCAACATGGAGACTGTCCTCCACTCCTGGCTCTTTCTTAGGTCAAGATAAGGATTTGAGGGTAGGGGAGGGGAGACAGGATTTTTCCATATAGCCCTGGCTGTCTTGGAATTTGCTCTGGAGACAAGGCTGGCCTCAAACGCACAGAAATCTGCCTCTCTCAGGTGCTGAGATTAAAGGTGTGTGCCACCCAGCTCAGTCTGGATTCTAACCACCTCACCGTGACCCCCTAACCTCTCCTGTTTCCTCACTGACCCAAAGTGACATGTTCTAAGGACTGGTGTGGCAATGAGTGCATGAACAGGGCTTGGCGTACAGTAGGTACGTGCCAACATGCCTCCCTTCTATAAGGAACTCCCTGTTGCACACGTTTTTCTGTTCTTTTGGCTTTTCTCAAAGTGCCGGGACTGGGCACTGATTCCATTTCCTGGGAAGGACATCTGGGCTGGGAGCCGCAGTCTCCACAGCGCCATCTTTAGGAAGGACTCTTTGTGTTTGTACAGGCCGGACACGAGGGCAGCTACATCTTGCCATTTCTGCATGCTTGCCAGGCTCCTCTCCCAGGCAGCCCCGTGGTAGCTAGCTGTTTGGCTTTTCCTAAAGTAGGGAAAATTCGGCCGCCTTTCTTCACCTGGGTGCCTAAATTCTTTTCTTTGAGACAGAAAATACAAGGCTTGGGCCCAGAGCAGGAAGGACACTAAGGTTGGCTCATGTAGCTTGGTGTGCTTGGGGTGGGGGGTTGGGGTGGGTGGGTGCAAAAAACAAAGAGCCCCAAACGGAAAAAACAGCCCCTGCTACATCTCCCAGCTCAGGAGCGGAAACCACCCACAGCATTTATGGCTCCGAATCTTTAGCCTGGACGTTTCCCCCACTGTCACCAGCCAGGACCTGAGGTTCCTCTCTGCACCTGCCTAGAGCGCTCTGTAGAGCCACGTGTGCCGGGCTCCATCTACAGGAGCTGGAGCGGGGGAGGGAGAAAGGGAGGGCAGAGCCCCTGCTGGTTACCCCGTGGGCTGTGGACCCCGTGGTAGGCAGGCGTGGGCCTCGTGGAGGCGGTGCGTGGGAGGAGCGTGGTGGCTGTCACCCATGTGTGGGTGGGGGGTGTGCGTCCTCCCAGTACAGAGTACGTGGTTGGCCTTTTAAGGCACGTCTCACCCGCCTCGTCTCTTCCTCCCTGCTTCCTCATGTTCTCTCTCCCACAAGTCTGCTCCCCACTTTCCACGGGGTTTCCCCCCAAACTTGCCCTGGGCCTCCTCCTTCTAGGGCAAGCCCCTCCCTCGGACCTCGGTGCTCAGCCCATCCCAGGCTGCCAGGAGGGGGCGCCTGCCCTGGATCAGGGCTCCTGCTGAGGCTGCAACAGCTGCTGCAGCAACTATGCAGCAGTCTGCGGAGAGTAGTGAGGACTCCAAGCTGGCCCAGGCTATTAGACTGAGTATCGGACCTAGGAGTTTCCTGAATACCGCCCCCTTCTACCCCAGTGGCTTTTGACTACGTTTACCAGGAGTGATTTATTCATTTGAATATAAGAAAATTTGACCTGAAAAGAAGACATGGTTGAGTTTGCTGAGTATTTCACAAGAGGGAACCGAGGGGCCGGTGAGCGGAGCTCTAACTAGATTTCAGGGCTTCTGACTCTGAAGTGCACTGCCACCATCATTCCTTGCCTCCTTTGCCAGTCTTCCAGCCCCAAAGTCTCCCAAATGGAGACTTCTTGAAAAAGTTTCCAACTGGCTTCTTTCTGGAATTTTTTCCCTGAAAGACTGCGCATGCCTACATGAGATTTCTCACTGTCAGTCACATGCACGCACGCACGCGCGCACGCACACACGCACACACGCACCACGTACGCATACTCTTTCCCTCTCCAGTCTTGCCAGCAGACCACAAACTGGCTGTCTCAGAACGCCAGGGCTCTCACTTCCATTTGCTCCTGGCTCAGACTCAGGGTCCCTGGGCTAGGTGCCTTGTGTGCCTTCCAGAGTGCCTCTGGGGATAGGAACATGACTCCAAGGCACCTCAGGTCCTGGGGACAGGGGACATCAGGGGCTTCAATCACTTAACCTGTTAGCCAGAGACTATCCAGTAAAGACTACCCCACATTCTCTTTACAATGAGACAATATCCAGGTGACAGGGCAGGTGCTAGATTTGATATAAACATGGTTACTGGATCATATCTGTCCTTGTGTGAGCAGAGCAAGCAGCCTTTGCTGACACTCACCCACACTCCTCTGTCTGTTACCAGGTTTTATGTGTCCTGGTCTGACCTCCAAAGCCAAGAATGACCTTGAATCTCTGATGCCTCCATCCAACAAGTTCTGAGACCACACGAGTGAGCTACCACACCTGGCTGCCCTCCTGTCTTCCCCATAAGAAAAGCAGAGACCATTAGGTCTTCCTCACATGGCCCAAGGCTGAAAGGAGAGAGAAGAGGGCTCTCAGGAAGCATGAAGATCTCTGAGGTAGAGCTACAGAGTCTGCATCTTGGAGTCACAGGTACTATGGACCACAGCTGGCTGGAGGACCCAGAGCAGAGGAAGAGAGCACACTGTGCAGTGGAGGCAGACACAGTGGGCTTCCCGAGAGGATGGGTGAAAAGAGCCTTGGAATGAGGGGAACTATCTCTTCCTCATCTGAAATCCTCAGCTGAGATGCAGTCATTGTCAGCTGACTGCTGGAGCTGTGGCCAGACCCCATATACCAACACACAGGCCAGAGCCTCCAGGAGGCCACTGTCCGCCTCCTGGATGTCTAGGGTCACGAAGGGGTGAGTCTCCCTCCCCAAGGTCAAATGGAAGTTGAGTGTGCCTACCATGCTCAGACCTTGTCTGAGTCCCCAGCCTAGGTTATCACCTCTTCTTGAACATTTCTTTCTTTCTTTCTTTCTTTTTTTTTTTTTTTGGTTTTTTGAGACAGGGTTTCTCTGTGTAGCCCTGGCTGTCCTGGAACTCACTCTGTAGACCAGGCTGGCCTCAAACTCAGAAATCCGCCTGCCTCTGCCTCCCAAGTGCTGGGATTAAAGGCGTGCGCCACCACCGCCCGGTTATGACCTCTGGCATTTGGTAGTCTCCCTCCATCTATGCAGATCTATTTTGCTGGCCTAAAACTTGTCAGAGCGGACCGCTTCCTCCCCACATCCGCAGCAGCTTCCCAACCTCTCACCCCACCTCCCAGACCTTCCGAACCACTGAGGAACCTAGGTGGAAAGTCATCCTTTCCAATCACAGCCTGTCGGGTCAGCCGTGAGACGGCAGCCAGGAAAGCCTGGTTTGGCTACCTGCCACCCACTGCCTGCCTTATTTCTTTCCACTCCAGTCTGGTGGCTTCTGTCAGGTCCCTGATGCCCTGTTCTCTCTCACCTTGGAATCAGTGTGTTCTCACTATCTTCTTCCCCCACCGCTCCCGTGATGGGTTTCAACACATCCCTTGATTATAACAGGATAGCCAGGGGCCAGCTTACTTTCGGAAGTCCTAGCTGCTCATGGCTGTCCCCTTGCCCCAGGAACATTGTCCTTCAAGCACAACAGCACAGTTGGCTCTGTTGTCATTTGTGTGTGCTTGTGTGCTCGAGAGCTTGAGTTGTTTTGGAGAGAGGAGGATGGCCTAACAATTGATAGGCAGAGGATGATCTTGAACTCCTACTTTCCGTTCTTCCCCCAAATCCTGAGATTTGGGCACCATAGCAGTTACTGCAGTGCTGGAGATCTAACCCAGGGCTACTTGTCTAGTCCTCATGACACATTTGAAAGCACACAGTCTCTAGCCAACTGTGAGATCTTTGAGGACAAGACCCAGGTTTCTGTTCAGGATGGTTTCCACAGACCAATACAGGACCTGGCACACACCAAACATGTTTCATGAACACTTGTTGGCTGACTGAGTGCCTAAGAACTAGAATGCAGACAGAGAAGCCCTGAAGTCAAGGTCAAAGAGCAAGGTCCTTGGAGCTTTGGCTCCATCCTGCTGGGTGGGAGGGGCTGTCCTAGTACCTGCCTTGGTGTGAATCTAGCCCTCCAGAGGTGAGTTGAAGGAACACAGTATCTGGTTAGGAAGAGCACTGAGCGCTCCAGCATACCTGTCACCGTGAGCTGCAAGGGGGATCTCTGCTTCCTCATCTCTCTCTGCTCAGGCTCTCTCATCTCTTATGAGGCCTAGACAGCTCAAGAGCCACACAGTACAGAGAACCAGAGAGAGCGAAGAGGCTCGAGAGCAAAAGTCAACCAGACCTGGGTTGGAGAGGTAGCTCAGTTGGTACAGTGCTTTGCCCAGCATACATGAAATCCTGGGTTCAATACCCTGGGCTCAAGCCTGAGAACCACATAAAAACAGGGATGGGCAGATAAGATGGCTCAGGAGATAAAGGTGCTTGCTGCCAGACCTGACAATCTAAGTTTGAACCCCATCCCAAGGCATTATATGATGGAAGGAGAGAACGAAATCCAAGTTGCCCTCTAACCTCTTCATGTATGCTGTGGCATACTCAAGGATCAGACAGACACACACATACACACACACACACTCAAGTGCCATACACACACATACTTACATACACTCAAATGTCAGACACACATACACACACATACACACACATACTCAAGTGACAGACACACACATACATATACACATATACACACACACACTCAAGTGACAGACACACACACATACACACTCAAGTGCCAGACACACACACTCAAGTGCCACACATGCGCACACACACACACACACACACACACACACACACACAAATAATAAAATGTGCATTGTGGTGCCTGGTTCTGCAATCCCAGAACTCAAGAGGTGGAGGAAGAAGTATCAGAAGTTAGAGGTCCCGGCTTGGCATTGATAGTGCATGCCTTTAATCCTAGCACCCAGGAAGCAGAGACAGGCAAATATCTAAGCTTGAAACCTAGTCTACACAGTGAATTCCAGGCCAGCCAGGGCTACACAGTGAAACCCTTAAAAAAATCCACCAACAAAAAGTTAAAGGATTGAAAGCCAGAGGCCAGGTTTGGAGGCTGTGTGTTACTTTCTACATTCTACTTTCTTCTGGACTGAAGGGGGGCTAATCAAACCTCTTGAACAAGGTCGTTTGAAGAGTAAATAGAACAACAAATGCAAAGTGTCTCAGAGCGTGCTTAAATATTTGCTGAATAATGAATGAAAGATATTTCAAAATAAGTTTGGAAACCTCTTTTCTGGAAATGTTCCCTCCTCTGCATAAATATTAGGTTTGGATTCATGCAAAATAAGTTGTGCCAATTAATCAATTTACTCATCCCATCATACACACTTGGAAGGAAGACTTTTTGAAATTAAAATGCACATATGCAAAGCAACCTGGCAGGGCCCGGGAGGATCAAATGTGATAATGGAAGAGGAGGCGCCGAGTAAACTGTGAAGCCAGTACAAATGTGAGCTGTCCTCATTACTCACTTGTTTACAGCTTGCTTGGCCCTGAAAGCTCTGGCTTAACCTGAAAGAGAAAAGTGGGCGACTTTCCAAAATTCCAGGGCTAGGCCATAAAGTCCCCAGATGGAGAGGTCTAAGCAGGGCCATGCACAGAGGACCTCTTCCTCCAGCCCTCCCCTCGGTGTCCACTGTCAGAACCAAGTTTTCTACGGAGTCAACCAAACTACAGTGTATCAGGCAAGACCTCTGCACTGGGATAGGTAAACGTGGCCCCTGTGGTCCTCATGAGCCAAGGCAGGTCAAGTATAAAAGTGAGCGAGCCAGCTGGCAGTGGAGGGAAACTGAGGCACACAACCAGCATAAGAAGAAGGGGGCACCTATTATCTCAGTATAGCATCCCTTGGCATTACACAAACAAACCCACTGTTGTCTGTTGCCAGAGCCAGCTTCCCCACCCCCGCCCTCCCATGAAGAGCCAAAACTCCAGATTTTCATTTGGAATTTCTTGCTTTTTAAATACTGGCATCTAATTTTTTATTAAAATTGTTTCGCACATTAGGTGGGCCAAGTAAACACGTGCACATGCTGTATTGATCCAGAAGCTTCTAGACCACCGCCATGTCCCAGCCCACCTTTGCCCATCATCCTGAAATCTGCCATAGACTGAAGTCTGTGACTGTTGGGAGCTCAGAGGCCCCAGAAGAGCATTCCCTGAGGCAGGGACTCACCCTCTCCTGCAGAGGCTCCACGGCCCTCCTTGGTCACACAGCAGCCATTCTCCACAGCTCTGGAGGCTTCTGGTGGGGTCTCAGTTCCCTCTCCTTCAGCAGGGGCCCCACCCTTCTGCCCTGCAGCTGGGCTCCCCTCTTCAGGTTGGGGTTCACTTCGCTTCTCCAAGTCTCCATTGGGTAGCAGATCTGAGGGGCCAGAGTCCTGGGCCATGGGCTGAGACTTGGTGGTCACCGCTGGGTCCTTGGGGGTGTCACTGCTTTCCACCTGCAAAGATGAAGAAGGACAAACATAAGGACGAGACCTTTGCAGGTTTAAGGGATCAAGCAGGTGGGCCAGCCTGATCTCACCACCCCAGGATACTCCCCACTGCATTCCACTTCTAAACAAATAACCCTGCAGCTGTGCATGCAGCCCGATTGGTAGAGTGCTTGGCTAGCAAACAGGAAGCCCTGGGTTCAGTACCCAGTACTGTATAAACCAGACACAGTGGTATACACCCGTAATCCTAGCACTCACAGGTAGAAGCAGGAGGATCAGAAGTTCAAGGGCATCCTTAGCCACATACAGAGTTTGAGGTCAGCCAGGGCTACATGAAACCCTGCCTTAAAAAACTAAAAGCAGGATGGTTCCATTGGACAAGGTACTTGCTATGCAAGCTGGGTTACCTAAGTTCAATTCCCACACCAAAGAGAACCCACTCTGCAAAACTGTCCTTGACCCTCAACATAAGCACTGTGTACATGCCTATACACAGATGAACATAATAAATAAAAACATAACAAGAAACTAAAACAAAACAAATGCTTCCTATTGAAACTGGACCCTTCCTCAGGAAATTTAAATACCACCCAATCAATTCCAGCTGCCTGAGGCTGGCCTGACTTCAGCTCTCATAGCCTTCCTTCTATGCTACCATGGGTGAGGGAGGCGTCAACATGGTCCTCCATAAGAAGCATTCTCTGGGGGGCTGGAGAGATGGCTCAGCAGTCAAGAACACTGACTGCTCTTCTAGAGGTCCTGAGTTCAATTTCCAGCAACCACATGGTGGCTCACAACCATCTGTAATGGAATTCAATGTCCTCTTCTGGTGTGTCTGACGATAGCTACAGTGTACCCACATACATAAAATAAATAAATAGATCTAGGAGGAGGAGGAAGAGGAGGAGGAAGAGGAGGAGGAGGAGGAGGAGGAGGAGGAGGAAGAGGAGGAAGAGGAAGAAGAAGAGGAAGAGCAGCAGCAACAGCATTCTCTGGACCTGACCTAGTCTCATAGCTTTCTGTCCCCCAACTCAGACCCCATAGATTCTCAGACCAAGGCTAACCAAGGCCCCAAGTAGTCTCCAGCCTGTGCAGAGCCCTGGGCATAGGCCTGCCTGGAAAAAGAAGAGGCGGCTTCATCCCCTGGTGCCTGAGGTCAGAACCTGCTAAGGCTACTACTGGTAGAAACCAAATCACTCTGGTTGTCCTCACATCGTCCTGGAACCCCAGTTCCCTTTCAGTATCTCTTGGCTTGTGCTCTCTGTCCCCTCTTTCTCTCTGTGTGTGTGTGTGTGTGTGTTCTAGTGAACTCTGTTCTTGCTCATATGGAGGTAAATGGTCAGAACCTCTCAGAAGATGGGAGATGATTGATTGGTTCAGGGTCTGCTGGCTTCACAGGCTCCAGGGTGTGCACAGTTACAGAATGCTCAGGGGTAGGAAGTGGCAGAACTAGCTCGGCAAGCCCCAGGTGAGACCTGAGCCAGGGTGGTGGCATGTGCCAGGAATCCCAGCATTTGGGAGGTAGGGACAAAAGGATCAGGAGCTCAGGGTCACTCTTAGCTCCACAGTGAGTTTGAGGTCAACCTAGCTACATGAGACCCCGTCTCAAAAACCAAACAGACAAAGAAAAAGTAGGCTCACTGCCTTTTGAAAGGTACGGTGACTATGCTTAGTCAACAGATACTTTGCCTTAGTCTTGTGTTGGTCTTTGTTTCACGGGGTCCTGGCCTTGAACTCATTATATAGATAAAGATGAACCTCTGTCTTTGCTTCCTGAGTATCCTCAGACAACTGGCATGTTGTCACCTTGCCCAGACTCTTTTCTATTATAAAAGTAATGGGCCAGATGTGATGGCACAGAGGCAGAGGCAAACAGATTTCTTTGAGTGCTAGGCCAGCCAGGACAACATACTAAGAGTCTGTCTCAACAAGAATATATACATTTTAATCAGTAATAAAAAAAACCCAGACATACAGGGCTAGAGAGATGGCTCAGTGGTTAAGAGCACTGACTGTTGCTCCAGAGGTCTGGAGTTCAATTCCCAGCAACCACATGGTGGCTCACAACCATCTATAGTGGGATCTGATGCCCTCTTCTGTCTGATGGCTCTTCTGTTATGCAGGCATATATGCAAACACAGTGCTCATATACATACATAAATAAGTCTTTTAAAATAATCAGGCATACATAATATATTTTTGTGTGACTGAGTCACAGTTAGCCCAGGCCAGCCTCAAACTTGCTATGTAGCTAAGGATCACCTTAAACTCCTGAATCTCCTACCTCCACCTCCTGAGTGTGGGATAATAGTCATGTACCAACACACCCAGTTTATGTGGGGTTGGGAGTTATACCCAGGGCCTTGTACTTCTAGGCATGTATTCTACCCACTAAGCCAAATCCGCAGCCCCATAAAAATTTGAATCGCACAAACCAAAGCTAAGCTGGCAAGATGGCTCAGCAGGTAAGGGTGCTTGCTGCCTGATGACCTGAGTCTGATGACCAGGACCCACAAGTTGGAAGGAGAAAACCAGCTCTTGAAAGTTGTCCTCTGACCTCCTCCATGAAAGTGTCTGTCAGTCTCTTTGTCTGTCTCTTTCTCACACAAGTCTCATCTCCCTTTCACACACACACCAAATAAATTAAATGTAAACACAAATTTTTTAAAGAAAATACTTGTTTTAAAGGTTAAACTCGGGGGCTGGAGAGATGGCTCAGTGGTTAAGAGCATTGACTGCACTTCCAGAGGTCCTGAGTTCAAATCCCAGCAACCACATGGTGGCTCATAACCATCTGTAATGAGATTCGATGCCCTCTTCTGGTGTGTCTGAAGACAGCTACAGTGTATTCATATATAATAAATAAATAAATCTTTGAAAAAAAAAGGTTAAAATCTTATATTAATACCCCAAGTTATGCTCTCCCTGAAAATCATTAGCAGCTTGGTAAACATCCTTCCAGCCCCCACCCTCATCCCCAAGCAGGGTCTCAGCATATGGCTGACCTGGAACTCAGGAGCTCCAGGGCGATTTGCCCTCATCTCCTGAGTGCTAGAATTGAAGGAGTGGGAACCATACTCCATCTTTTTAGACTTTCTGTTCCATCTCAGGCTAGAGAGATGATTCGTGGTTAATGGCTCTTGCAGAAGACCTAGGTTCAATTCCTAGCAACCCTATGGTGGCTTACAACTAGAACTCCAGTCCCAGGGGATCCAATGCTCTCTTCTGACAGCCACAAGCACCATGCATACACATGGTGATCATATATACATGCTGGCAGAGCATTCATATACATAATCAAATAAACAAACAAAATAAAACAAGGTTTCAGATAGTCTAGGCTGGCTTCAAACTGTGCATCTGAGGCTGGCCTGGTCTGTGTGCCAGGTGCAGGGACAGCAGACATATGCCAAAGGGCTAGGTTTCCTTTTTAGACTTCTCAGTCACATGTAAGTTACACATTTGTCCACATAGTCATACACACAATGAGATCCAAAATCGTGTTTCATCATGATACCCAGAAGGTTCTAGAACTCACCTCTCCCCTGACAAATACAATGGCACCTCTCCACACCCGCGCATATGGCTCTCCCTCCAGCTTAGTGGATGCTGTGTGACTCACACCAACTGTGGGTACTGGAGCTGAGCTGCTTCCTGCTGTAGTGAGCCCTACAACTTCCAGTTCCCTATGGTTAAGTATATCCATAGGGCAGTCCCAGGGGACTAAGTCCCAGGGGACAAGCTCGCTCCAGAAAGGCTGCAGCACCAGCACATAGCCTGAGAGGCACAAGCTGCTGACCCCTCATCTCACAGCCTCCATTTCATGTCTGGGATGGGATAGCTCACTGCTATTTAGTGAGGAGCCCTGAGAGTGGCAAACCCAGGGTCTGACTGTACCACCTCCTGAGGGGCCCCAGCAGTTGGCCTAGTTGATCCAGCAGTCTATGCTCTGGGCTCTTCATCTGGGAAGAGAAAAGGCTGAGGAGCCGTGTCACTGGGGCCTCAGCAGCCAGGGGTTCTGGGAGGCTGCAGCACGAAGAGGAAGTGCCGGTGGGAGGGAGGAAGCCACCACAGGCCATGCCAGGCTGCTGGGCAGCTGCATGCAGAAAAGAGGAGAGAACAGACGACCACCCGCTTCCTTTCGTCCCCAGCCCCCACGCCATGTGCCTGACCCACCTCAGGGCGGAAACTGCACCTTGCACCTTCCTGTGTCAGTCTGTCAACTCCACAAGGTTGAAGTGAGTAACGCATGAGAGAAGGCCATGCCTCACTGCCTTGGTAGACACTTTCCAGGGACCTGTGGTACCAGGTACCACAAAGCCAACGTGTACGGCAGGGAGGCGGGCAGTTACACTTGGACAGAAGCAATCTGTCTTGGTTGCTCTCTCTCTTAGCCACTCGCTGCCCCTACAGAGCTGCTGCATATCATCCTAGATGATGCCTGAGGATCACATGGCCCCCTTACCCAAGGACTCGATTCCTGTGGATACCAACGCCATAGCCCACGGAGCCAGGAGTGCTAGCTCTCTGCCCGGCCACAGTCTTTCCATCACACTGCATAGGGCTGCCCCACCAGCCCTGCCAGCAGGACCCCCTCTGCAGCAGCATCAATACACCCAGAGGTGAGAGCCAATACACAGGTGGGCTTGAAGATATGGGAATCTATCACATGACTGTAGGTCTAGGATCAGCTCAATGGCTGAAAGGCTCACCCCTGCCCATTGGCCCACACCATCCCCCTGCTCCCCATTTTGGTGCTTGGAATTAAACCCAGAGCCTTTTTTGCATGTATTATGTAAATGCTACCAATGAGCTATCACCCAGCCCCCCCCACCAAGCTCTCTTCCTAACACCCCTATCCTCTCCTGCTTGACTCTTTGTTTCCTTTTTTTTTTTTTTTTTTTGAGGTTGAGTCTCACCTAATCCAGGCTAGCCTCATGCAGCTGAGGCTAGCCTTAAATTCCTGATCCTTACCTCCCCACCACTTGCCCTCTTGAGTGCTGGAATTACAAGTGTGCACTACGACACTCGGTTTATACAACGCTGAGGGTAGACCCTGGGCTTCATTTGTGCTAGGCAAGCACTCAACACAGTGAACTACTCCACTTCCTTTGAGTCAGCAACTGAGCTGAGGTTCAAGTGAACCCATGACTCCTACACCGTAGCCGACCCCTGCTTCTCCTTACTCTCCAGGACCCTGGGATAAGCATGGCCTCTTCCTAGGGCTCGTGGGACCTGGGCAACTGAGAGACTAAATCCATCTACAGAACTACCCAGAGGGAGGAATCCAGACTGCAGTCAATGGACCAAAGCCTGCCAGATTCTGGGGAGGAGTGGGGACTTACTAAAAGGGGTACTTCAGGGGCTGGAGAGATGGCTAGACAGTTAAGAGCACTGATTGCTCTTCCAGAGGGTCCTGAGTTCAATTCCCAGCAACCATGTGGTGGCTCACAACCATCTGTAATGGGATCTGATGCCTTCTTCTGGTGTGTCTGAAGAGAGCTACAGGGTACTCATATACATAAGTAAATAAATAACCCTTTTTTAAAAAGGGGGGTGGCATTTTGAGCAGACAGACCTGTGAGTCTGCCTTGAGTTCCTGTCCCTTCCCTGTCCCTAGCAGCTCCTGCACTCCTGGAACACGGGGACTTGGTTTAAGCCAGTTGGATCTATCACAGAGCAGGACCACAACACTATTCCATAAATATTCCCAATGGCTCCATTAACGACAAAGTTCAAACACCCAGCTCATGAGTCCAGAGGGAGCTCTGGCCCTGTGGCCATGTCAGAGTGTCACATCAGCTGTTTCTGTTTGCTTTCTTTAACAGTGCCTCTGAAGAAGACAGCAAGGCCTTGAGACAGACATTCCAGGGGTCACTGCTGGCCATCTTAGGAGGCACTGAGCACAGCTGCAGGAGACAGCATCAGTAAGGCAAGAGCAGTAGTGAAGACCTTCTCTTCTGAAGAACTAGGGGGAGGGATGCTCTGGAGATTGACACTAACATCCCAGGATTCAGTCAAACCTGGTCCCTTTGTCGCTGTCTGCCTCCCCCACCCAGCATGCATTACTCTGGGTCTGTAAACCCTGCTAACAGCCTATGCCCAGCTCTGAAAGCCCTCATCACGTGGATGGCAGATGTGTCAAGCTGCTGGGTCCAACCTCACCCCAAGGACCAGTAGAATCCACAGTGGCTCTCACTCCCAGAAGTTCTCAGAGTTTGCTGACCTTTGCCTCCTGCCAGGAATGATTCTATCCCTGTCTCTAGACAACTCTCCCCTGCTTCTCTGCTACCCAGCACCCTCCTCAGCCTCTGCTTCATGGAGCACATTCTGAGCAGAGTTCATGGGTGGTTCCTGCAGGGAAACACCACTGCTCCCCTCAGGACATTTGGCAAAGTGGCTGGAGATTGGTTTGGTGTCACGTGTCACATGCTGGCAGCTAGTGGATACAGGTCATGGATGCTGTTACATGCCCTAACATCTACCACATCTAGCCTTAAGGAACACATTTTAAAAAAAGAAAGAAGAAAAGAAAGAAAGAAATCTGCTGGGCAGTGGCAGCGCACGCCTTTAATCCCAGTACTTGGGAGGCAGAGGCAGGTGGATTTCTGAGTTCGAGGCCAGCCTGGTCTACAGAGTAGAATTCCAGGATAGCCAGGGCTATACAGAGAAACTCTGTCTCGAAACCCCCCCCCCAAAAAAAAAACTAACAAAAAAAATAATTCTGGCTGTGGTGAACCAGACCTGTAATTCCAGCACTTGTGGACTGACATAAGAAGATTGCTATAAGTTCAAGGCTAGGTCTGGGCTATGTAGGGAGACCCTGTCTCAAAAAATAAAAATTAACAAAATACCCCCCCAAATCCATGATAAAGTATATACAAAATTTGTCACTTTAACCATTTTGAAATATATATTGACTTTATTCATGTTCTGTGACCATCACCCCACACAGAAGTTCTGCACCCCTGAAACAGTAACCCTCAGCCTATGCCTCGCTCCCACAGCCCTCGCCATATAGATGACAGATGTGGACAGCTGCTGGGTCCAGCCTCCTCCAGAGGAGGACTGGTGGCATCCACTGTGGCATTCCCTCCCCTCCCCCAGCAGGCCACGCTGTTTACGGAGCTCCCACTCACCCATTCCAGCATTCACTATGCTGGAGTTCTGTGAGGGAGACTCAGCCAGGGAGGTGACTGTCCTTCAGATGGCTGTCCTGTACTTGGGTCACCCTGGGAGCTTTGCTGAGGACTGTGAGCATGTGGTGTGAGCATGTGTGTGAACAGAGGTCAGCCTTGGAGCCATCTTCCTCAGACGAGCTCCACATATTGCCTCAGGAGGCTTAAGATAATTAAATTTATTGATTTTATGGGTGCCAGGTCCTTTGCTGGGTGCTAGCATGCTGGGGTAGAGAAAGGAAAGGCAGCGCCCATAGTCCAGAAGGGAGGCACACTGTAAAGAAGCCATTACTCGGGCATGGTGAATTACAAGTGCTTTACCACTGAGTTCCAGCCCCAACGCTAGGAGCAGCCCCTATAGTGATCTCTATCGACTCTACCTCGGAAGGTTTGGTCTCTGATCACAGCTGGCATTGTCCCTTTTGAGCCATTGCTGGGGGCCTGTGGCTTCTCCTTTCACCCCATCATCTGACCAGTGAACAGGGCTCTGTTTTTCTGTGCTCCCACCAGGTCAGGGTTTGCTTCTTGCCCCGTGCTCCCTTTATTCCCGTTCCTTAAAGGATACAGAGTAAGAACACAAGGTGTGATTGTGCGTGCCTAACAGGAAGCTGGGTATGGTGGCACACATGCCTTTAATCTTTATACTCAGAAGGCAGAGGAGGCATATCTCTGTGAGTTTGAGGCTAGCCTGGTCTACATTTTGAATTTCAGGACACCCTGTCCCAAAAATAAAATAAAGAGTAAAACCCCTCAGGTCTCTTGTATATTATTTTTCTAGGTAAGACCTAGACTGGAACCTTGGTCCACAAGATAGGCTGGTAGGTTCAGGGTTAGCCTCTCAACCCCTATACAACATGCCTGCTCCACCTTGCTCAGCAAGACCTCAGCAGGACTTGCCACTTTCCCCTTGGTTCCTGCCCTCCTTTAAGAGCCAGGCAGGCCCCACATTTCCCAGTAGATTTCCCCTGGCTTCCTTGACCCTCAAGGTCCACACCTGGTGGCATGCCCACCCCCACCCCACCACTGACCTCCCTCAGAATTTTCTTGCATGCTCAGGAGGGCAACCTTCAGGAAGTGTTAAACTCCTGGAAGCTGCATGTACCCCATCCCACTCTATCTCGCTCAGGCCTTCTGGAAGGCCACTCCTGGGGTGTGACCGGGAGCAGCAGCCCAGGACTAAGAGAGCCTAAAACCAAGGGGGGATCAGCCATCAAGTCTCCAGTTAAAGAGCTTGCAAAGCACAGGTCTGGTCTGGAAACAAGGAGGGGATTTAGTTCTGCTGGAGAAGAATCAAATGGCTCTCAGAATGGAAAAGTCAGCCACACTGCAAAGCCCAGGGAGCCGTAAAACTGCCCGGCTGAGGCTCAGCCCGGCACTGCCTGGCTTCCCCTGGCTTCTGCCCTTCTGCCCTACAACACTGCCCTCTGGAACCCACTCCCTCTTGGCTGTGCAGGAGGCTGCTATGGACGAAGGAGCCCAGCCTGGCTCAGCTGAGCTCGGCGCCAGCTCCCACCCACTCCTCCTCCCGCCCTTGCTGGGTTATTCTTAGCAAGAGTGACCTCAGAATGCTCCCTCCAAGCAAAAATAACCTTGGAGGAAGTTGGTGGGTATAAATCCCCACTGATATGCATGTAGCCAGCAAACAGGGTGTGGACCTTGCAGGACCTGTTACCCCTACCACCCAACCCCAGGGTCCGGTGGGCCAAGGCAGAAACTGTCCCTCTGCTGCCCCAGCTGGAACCACCCACAAAGAACAAAGACCTCTGCAGAGCTGTCTGGGCTTGTGACCGTGCAGGAACCAGCCTTACACAGCTCCACTTGTCACAGTGCAGGGTCTTCAGGAGCTAGTGAACAGGGAAACGGCCCTTTCTTTCCACTGAGCCGCACACACAGGCCTGATTTCACATACCAGTCTCCTCCCCAGCATGGGCACTGGCCAGCCCACAGGCCCTAGCCCAGGTGCCAGCTCCTTTCCTAAGCCCCTCCTAGCCCAGCAGCTGGCTTCCTGTTTCCTGTTGCTGGCAGTATCTTGGCTTTCACCAATGCAATGCTGCCAGCGACGCAGGCCGATGCCTACTCTGAAGCAGGCTCATCTCCCAGTCCTTGGACCACCCCAGCCTCCCCAATTATACCTGGATTTCTGGGATTTGTGTCAAACTCTCCCTCAGTTATATTTTTTTCTTTCTTTTATTTTTTATTTTTGAGATAGAGTCTCACGTGGCCAAGGCTAGCCTTGAATTCGATGCTGGCTAAGGATGGCCTTGAACTTCTTTCTGATCCAACGTATCTCAAGTCCTGGCCCCATAGGCATGCTTATGTGGTGCTGAGAATCAAAACCAGGGCCTGGTGCATGCACAACAAGCATGCTGCCAACTGAGCTACACCCAGATCTCAGCTTTCTCTGCGTGGTTTTCTGGGAACACTATGCACGGTGTACCCTGCATTCATATACTAACTTAAAAGAGCCTCTGGAGACCCAGGCTCCCAGGGAGAAGAAAAGCAAGGGCCTTCACAGTAGAGAGCGGGGGATCCAAGAGGTGAGTCTTTTAATTAATTATTATTATTAGGGTGTGTGTGAGAGCACGCTTGTGTGTGTGTGTGTGTGTGCATATGTGTATACGTAACACACAAACATACTCATGCCATTGGCATGAAGGCTGGAGGACAATTCTTGAGAGCTGGTCTCCATCCCGCACAGATTCTTCAGGCTTTTACCTACTAAGTCATCTCGCTAGCCTGAGGTAAGTCTTGGAACCGGCCTTTGTAGGCGACAAAGAGCTGTGCTATTTGCCTTTTTATTCGTGGTCTTGGTACTTGATCGACTGTAGGTAATGAAATAAGTTCCACTTGGCAGACATGCAAAGGAGCCAGTATGGATTGTGGCAAGTTCAAGGACAGCCCGGGCTTCAATGTGTCTGTCTCAAAAAACAATCAACCAGTGGAGGAACAAACTCTACTTATCCAGAGTTAAAAGCAAATCCATGATTTAGGGTTTGGGGGTAGGGGCTGAGAGCCCAGGAAGCTGTTGTGGGGCTGGACTCCGACTTCTCTACTTGCTAAGAAAGCGGATCGTTGTAAAAACAATGAACATGAATAATAATGTTCATTACTAAAAGAAGGGGTGCGAGGAGGAGGTAGAGGAGGGGAGGAGTTTCCGGGGCTAGGGCTGGGGATCAGGGGCGGGGCACTTGGCTGAAGATGGGTAAACTAGGTTTGAGTGCCACTCCGTGAGTAAGTAAATAAGTAAATACATTAGATTGCAGTTTAGAAACCTCAAGCTCCTAGACTCTGATTCAGAGCTCTCTGCGGACAGCAGAGACCATGCGTGTGGTAGTGAGGCGTGCGGACCACTGCATCTAAACGTGTGTCTGGTTTCTTAGTACTTCACCCACACTGATCTCACAAGCAGGTCAAGGGGGACTTACCATCAAGGGGGCCATACTGGGCTTTGTTTATTATATACTTCTCCGTGTGTGTGTGTGTCTGTGTGTCGTGTGTGTGTGTGTGTGTGTGCTTGTATTATATGGGGGCAATGCACAGACCACAGCAGGGGCGTGGAAATTCCAAACCAACTTTGTGAAGCCAGTCCTCTTCATCCGCCTGTTCATGGTTCTAGGGTCTGAAATTCAGGCTGCCAGCTACGTGCAATGAGTGCAGGTACCTTTGCTTGCTGAACCACACACCCTTGGCCCTGGGCTTCATTTTCAAGCAAGACTTGATGGGGTGTGGCTCCAAGGGAAGAGGCAAGTAGGGCTATCACACCGCACAAGTGGAGAGAAAGAGCCTGGAGTATCCTGGGGGCAGCAAGAATACAAGATTCTTCAGAGACCTGCCAAGCACTATATTACTGTGCCACTCTTTTCTAGTACACTAGATTGGAAGTTAAGTTTCTTTTTCCCAGGTGAAGGGCAAGAAGCAAAGCTAGCCTGGGCATCCCTAGCTAGGAAACTAACACAGCAGCACCCAAGGACAGATGTCTGAGGAAGACAAAGATGCACAGGCTTGGGGACAAGTTGAGGAGGTGCCAAGGGTACTTAATTTGGGGTTGAGGAGGGACAGATGGTTCACTTGAACCTCTGTGTCCAGTGCTGCAGAGTAAAGCCTATGCGAAGGAAGTTCTCCCCGGCCACACTTGGCTTCTAGGCCTCCCTTCATTATCTCCTGCCCTCTGCAGATATGCCTGGGAGACACACAGGGCTGTTCCAATGCTCCTAGGGAATCTAGTCCCAGGGCTGCAGCAGACCCCAGAGAAGCCCGCCTGAGCTCCTGCTGCAAAGGAGAAAAGAACACCAGGAGAGAGGAGAAAGCCGAGGCTGCACCTGCCCCACAAGAGCTGAGAACCCAGACTAAGGCCATCTGTAGTCTGCAGGAACAGGAAACATCCCCAGGTGGCCTGCCAATAAAAGCCGAATTCTATAAGCTGACTTTCTCCAATGTACAAGGTGTCCTTTAAAAGACTTTTTAAAAAAAAAAATATGAGGGTTTTGTCTGCTTGTGTGTCTGTGGTCCATTCCTGCCTGGTACTCCTGCAGGTCAAAAAGAACACCTGATCCCCTGGACCTGGACTTACATGTGATTGTGAGCCACCAGGTAGGTGCTACAAGTCAAACCCGCTGTCCTCTGCAGTAGCAAGAAGTGGACCTGCTAAGTCAACTCTCCAGTCCCTTACAAAAGTTTTCTGTTTGTTTGTTTGTTTGTTTGTTTAATTTACTTTAATGTTTTGGACAAGGTCTCACAGAGCCAAGAATGGCTCCAAGCTCGCTATTCCACTGAGGATTACCTTGAATTTTTATTATTATTATTTTGGTTTTTTGTTTGTTCGTTTTTTTTCAAGGCAGGGTTTCTCTGTGTAGTTCTGGCTGTCCTGCAACTCACTCTGTAGACCTGGCTGGCTCTGCCTGCCTCTGCCTCCCAAGTGCCAGGACTAAAGTTATGCACCACTACCACCTGGCTGACTTTCTTTTTTTTTGGTTTTTTGAGACAGGGTTTCTCTGTGCAGCCCTGGCTGTCCTGGAACTCACTCTATAGACCAGGCTGGCATTGAACTCAGAAATCTGCCTGCCTCTGCCTCCCAAGTGCTGGGACACCACCAGCAGGCATCCTGGCTGGCTTTTTTGTTTTGTTTTGTTTTTGTTTTGTTTTGTTTTTTTTGAGACAGGGTTTCTCTGTATAGCCCGGGCTGTCCTGGAACTCACTCTGTAGACCAGGCTGGCCTCGAACTCAGAAATCCGCCTGCCTCTACCTCCCAAGTGCTAGGATTAAAGGCGTGTGCCACCACTGCCCAGCTCCTGGCTGGCTTTCTAATCCTTCTGCCATCACACCCAAGTGCTCAACATTACACAGAACTGGGGTCTGACCTAGTGACTCATGCATGTGAGGCAAGCACTCTACCAACCAAGTCATATTCACAGACCCCAAGGTCTCTTCAGTCTCATGTCCCAGACTCCTCAGTGTCACCCAGGGCAAGGGATGGGCCACACCACTTGATGCTTGCACAATGTGCACTGAGAGGTCAGTGCTGGTCCCTACCCCAAAGGCTCACAGCCTGGTCCATGGACACTGAAATTATGCAAGTTTATTATCTGGCCAGTGCTGCCCATCTGGGCTCCACTCTGCTGTTTGCAAGCACCCCAGGAGGTATACAGAGCAGGTATTCAGGGCAGCCCATTTTACCAGGGAGGAAGTGGTCAGAGAGGTTCAGCCACTGAACAAGGTCATGTATCTTGGAAGCACCAAACATGACATTCTTTCTCCTGTCAAACTGTGATTGCCACGGTGCTAGGCAGGGACGAGCCTAGCCCTTGCTCTGCACTGGACTGAATTCATCCCAGGCACCCTAGAAGGAATACACCCTGCCTGTGGTTCTGGCTGTGACTTGTTCAAGCTCATAAAGGTGGTGGATTGTGAAGGGGGTGTTTGAACCAGGTCCACTGGTCTTCAAAGACAGTATTTTTCTTTCTGTACCGAAGCCGGCTCCAGGCAAGGGCTCAATGCCTCCCGCCCAGTCTCTTTCTGCGAGTTATTTCCTCATACCCTCTGACCCCAGACTTTCACCCTCCCTCGGTGCTGCGCCTGCCTTTTGATTCCAGACCGACAAATTGGAGTCAAAGGGTCACTGGTTCTTTATTTGTTACAGGTGGTGGCTCTGGGTCCTCAGCGAATAGAGTGCAGAGATTTGCTCTGCAGATTTCAGGCTGAGGTGCCTCAGGGGGCAAGGACATGCCTGCAGTCAAATAGAGCCAGCTTCTCCCTCACACGCCTTCACCCCTAAAGGTGCTCTTGGGTGAAAGAGTGGGACAGAAGCAGGGGGAACCTGCCTGTGCAGCTGCCTCAAACTGGAAATTCTTCTGAACTCATTTCATTCTTCCACTGTCAGGTGAATTTTTCATTACAGGCCATAAAATATCCATGTGTGCTTTATTATTAAGATGTCCTAAATTACTTACCAGCTAGTTACCTAACTTCCGCCCTTCCTTCCCTCTACGTCACGCAGAATTGGCTGTGGTTCCCGTTAGCTCCCCACAGGTTCCCCGAGCCTCTGGCTTCTGTGGAGCCAGCTCCCTAACTGGATGTGTGAAAATCACTACTCCCAGCTGTCCCACTGCCCCGAAGAAGGACTGTTACCAATCTGGAGCTGCAGCTCCCCTTCATCCTCCTGCTCCTCCAGCTCCAAGTTTACTGTTCTCTGCTGGTGAGGGTAAGAGAAAGGAACCAGCTGGCCTTGTGCTGGGAAGGAATTATCCACCCTTAGGCATGAGGGAGACAGGCTCTTGCAGCCCACAGCTTCGCCACACCCCCCGCCCCCAGCTCTCTCCATCAAGAGCAGCCCCAGAGCTCCCCCAGGCCTCAGCAGCATGGCTCCCTGAAGCAGGACCTTGTGGGCCAGCTACACCACTGCCAGCCACCCTGCAGGCCTTCAGCAGTGCCTGGGGCCTCTCTTGCAGAAGCTTAGCCTGCATGTCTTCCTTTCTCTGGAATCAGGCTCTGCCTGCCCTCTGGTCCTCCTGGGAGCAGAGGACCATGGCTAGTGTATGGCTTTGTGGCAGGGGCCAGACTCAGAGGCTCTTAGTCCAGCTGGGTAATGTGGCAGGCTTTCTTGGTACCCTTCCAGTGGGAAGCCAGGGGTTAGAGCCTGGTTGAAATTTCAGCTCCCACACCCACAGACAAGTTTTCTGGCCTCTAGTTCAAAACTGGAGAAAATATAGAAAGGAAAGGTAGGTTCAAAGAACGGAGGAAGTGACAAAGCCCTACAGCTGGCCTTCATGTCCCGAAGGCCTTGCAGATACACATCGCTGCTGTGCACAGCACAGGCATGGTCATGTGAGAGAGGACACTCACCGGTGGGTGCTTGCGCTTCCGGCCAGGCCTCCCCACCTTCCGGGCCGTGGCACTGGGCTCCGGGCGCTCTTCCTTGCCACGATTTTCTTCCTGTTCCTCTCCTTCCTGTGGACACAGACACACCCTGTAAGCCAGAGCTGACCTGAGAAGGCACTGTGTTCCAGGCTATCTTGACTGGCATGGGCCTCCTCCTCCTGTGCTACCTCCAGAACATTCACATTTCCAGGGTTGTGCCATGCTGTCCCCAGTCCTCTTGTATGGTAAAGTTGAACCCATCCCAGTACATACAGAGGGCTGGGGTGCAGCTTCGGTGGCAGAGTATTTGCCTAGCATGCACAACACCCTAGGTTTAATCCCAAGCACTGGCCAAATAAAATAGTTGGGTAGCTAAATCCTAGAAGGACCCCAGGGACCTCCTGTGGGGTATTACTCCCTCTGAGTTTTCATGTTTTTTTTTTTTTTTTT